TATTTTTGTAAATAAAACCCATTAAGCTAATCTATCCACCGTCTCTGATAGAGCCTCCGCAGCATATTTTTTTCTCAAATAGCCCAAAGGGCGTGTCACTGTTATTGCCCAAGTGGAGGTAATCGAAGCAGCTATAAGGAAAGTCTAATACCCAAGTGCTATTTTCGTCACGAAAGGACTACTCAGTTAAAAGTAAAAAAAATTAATGAAGTTGTTGCTAGTTCTCAAATAAAAAAAAATATCCTACTACGAGTTCTATGTACATTGTATACTGGCGGTCACTATTTTTAATGAAATAAAATTTCGTACATATATAAAAAAAAACAATTCTTCTTCGTCACGAAAGGACTACTCAGTTAAAAGTAAAAAAAATGTATGGAGTTGTTGCTAGTTCTCAAATAAAAAAAAATATCCTACTACGAGTTCTATGTACATTGTACACTGGCGTTCACTATTTTTAATGAAATAAAATTTCGTACATATATACAAAAAAAAAAACAGTTCTATTAAATATAGTTCACGCTATAATAAAAACTATGTAAATAAAAATTTCACCTTTGAAAAAACTTGGAAAAATTCATAAAAATTTCCAACTTGTAATCCAAAAAATTGTTGAAAAAGTTTGGCATTTTTCAGGCCATTTTATTTTAGTATAATAAAGTGCCAGTTTGAAGTAGCTCGCACAAAAAAAGCTTGATTAAAAAGTTTAAAATTTTGACGAATATTTGATGTTTTTTCTAAATTTCAAAAAAAGGCAGATTAAACTACGCGATTCTTCCCCAATTTGCCGATGTTGTTTGCTTACGCCAGAAACTATAACCCTACAGAAAATGGCATCACTAGTATTATGCCTAGACACCAAAAATTGCACAGCACTTCAACTAATTGGATCTGTTGTTATACATATGTATATATGTGCTGTACGAGCACACATACTCATATAAATTTGCATCGTAGGCTTTATGACTAAATTGCAACTACACTAATGAGACCGCTTTCAGCAGTGGAATGGTATTGCATGCAATGCAAAACTTTTTCAATAACAGTTTTCAAACTGCCAAACTGCAATTTTCGAAAGTAATCTACGAAAAAACTTTCCATCAGCAATAAGCAGCGAAGCAAATCGACGAAACAAATGAATGATTCAACTTAATGCAGTTTTTGTAATGATTGCATTTGTTGTGGGTTCACACATACATACATACATACATGTACATGTGTATGTGGAACATATCCAAATATACATATGTATGTATGTATATATGAACATTTCCCCACTCGCATGTGAAGCGTGTGGCCATTGAGGTTTCACAAAAATTCCCTTTATTAGATTAACGCACCAACTTTGACCATATTTCGCTGGAGCATTCAAAAAGTCCAAAGTAGAAAAAGGTAGAACGAAAGATGCTTAAAGATTTACGAGCGCATGAAATTTAATGTTAATTAGAGGAAAAGCATCAGACACTGAGAAGTGTGTAAATGAGCAGTTAAAACTTTTTGAATGGCATTGAAGAAATAAAAGGAACTGTCGAGGCACCTGTAGAATATGTAAATTAAAAGAAAGGAGAAAAACTGTCAATTGTTGGTAATAATTCTTAATGAAAAACTTTTTTAATTGAATGGAAGAAAACAAACAAAATTGGTTTGATGCCATTGTGCGACAATGTGTGGGTTTAAATAAATTTAAATAGTGCATAAAGGTATACATTACACACATATAAGTACATATGTATAGGTAAGTGGGTAGAGTATGTAGGGTAAGTTTGTTCGATGGGGCGACTGTAAGTTTTTATGTGTGACAGGAAATTAAATCAGGTATGTGAGGCATAACAATATTCGTACTGAGGAGCACGGCCTCAAACCCTACAATCCTGCAAGTAAAAAGATACAGTGTGAGTTGCAAATTATATTAAGGCGAAGTTAAAAATCTTTAACCCTTAACTGGCATCGGCGGGGCGCGCACAACCATTTAGTTATGTATGCCAAATTTACAATACCAGTTGAGGTTTAAATTGGTGTAATTTAAATTTTTTGGTTTAAATACATTTATCCTCTTCAAAAAGTAATAACAAGTCTTAAATGCTCACGAAATTTTTCATTAAGCTTTAAAGGGTTAAAATAGCTAAGCACCTGTTCAAATAGGAAAAATAATGCAAGTGCGTAAATTAGACGATGACAAGTTTGGTATCGGTAAAAATTACAGAATTTTTTAAAATAACGGTAATGATCGTTATCGATAACAATTAAAATAATTATCGATATCCAAGTTACTAATGATCAAAATTGTTGATATCCACAAAAAACGTCATGTGCATGGTGATAACGACGATAAATATAATGATAACGATGTCGATATCGGAAACCATGATGAAATCGACTTTTCAAAGGGTTTGAATACATTTTCTTGCTATTCTTTTGTCAAGGAGTCCATTTCCATGTTCGCAAGAATCGATAGACGCATTTTAATTTTTTTTTCAAGTTCATTGCAAGCTTTTTTAGGTCGTAAAACGGCAAAAAAAAAATTGTAATTGTTGATGATTATTTTTTTTACCTAAAAATAGCATGCCAAAACCATAAAAAAAACTGCGTTTCCGGTTCTTGCGACCATAGAAATGGATTCCTTGATGCACAAAACAGCAAAAATTTTTGTATCAAGCTTTTGATTACAGGTCATAACATTCAAATCTTTTTATTTGTAAAGGCCATCTCAAAGATCACGAGATTATTTTTCCTGCGCTCTCCATGGAATATAGTGCGGTACTTTCACGGAACTCGATTAAATATCTGAAAATTGGGCCGTTTGAAAAACTGGAGAATGTCTTCAAAGGGGACTGCAGGCGCTCCTTAGATTCGTCACGATGTTGAATCTTCAATATTCATCTTGTATCGCGATGTACTACCAAAGGGTCTATGTATAGCGTACAGCTGCAACAGAGTCAACTTTTAACATTAGCAAAAATGTCTGTCAGGTTTTTTAGTTACTAAAAATTTATTACCAATTTTTCCATATATTCCAACGTTCATAACTAATTCAGCTGCTTATGCGAAGTATCCACTCAGATCAGCTTTGTACTTCTTCACAAATTAAACTTTTTTGCTTCTTCAACGTTTCGCAAACAAATTGTGCCTTCGTGTTGAACATGCTTTCAAATAAATGTCAGTTGATAAATACATCTGTACATTTAACGCCGTGTCAACGGAGGTATGAAACTGAAATTTAGAAATTAATATAATAGCTGCTTAACATCATGTTAAAGCAATTAAAAATGTTAATTATATTTTATAAATCAAAAGAAAAGACAAATCAAATGACCAACCAGCCGAAACCGAAGCCGAAACAAATGAAACAATTCAAAGTGAATTTGAAGTAAAAAAAAAACAAAAACAAAAACAGTTAACAGTCGCCAGGGCAGATGTTGCTGCCCACAACAGCGCCACCGTCATGGCTGTCCTCTCAGCAGACTGTGTGCGCTGCGACCAATAATTTTACATGCGGCTATAAATTTATGGCATTTTCAATGAAATAAATTCACCAAGCACACACCCACACACACACACACATTTACATAAGTAGCCGTGTAATGGACGCTTTGTTGCGTAGAGCGTGAGAGCCGTGATGACCGCCGTTTTGTTTGGACAAAAATGGCTAAAAAAAAATGTGAAAAATATGCAAAATGCTGGCCATGTCAAAATTTTCCTAAATTTTCAATACAAAAAATGTGACTTTTTTCGGCTACGTTTATACAAATCGGTTTTATTTTAGGCTTGTAATAATTAGCAGCAGCGCGCAAATGCCATACCATAAACAATGGCGGATCTGCGTTGGCAGCAGGTTTTCGTTTTGTTGTTTTTTTCGTACGAGCATTCGCTGTATTGGCGCGCTGCTCTCTAACAATTTGTTGAATTATAAATTTTAATTTCTAATTTATTTATAAATATTTCTTAGTTGTTGTTGTTGTTGCTTGTGCTCTTGTCATCAACAAAATGGCATACGTAATTTATTGTATTTTAATGCATTTGTTTTTTTTTTTGAATCGAAATTTTATTCAACCTGTTATTTTGTCATTTCATAAAAACTGTGGGAAAATATTTTTGCAAACGTTCAGCGATTACGCAAGTGATTGTTTTTATTTATTTTTTATTTTTTATTAATCGACAATAAGGTGGAGAGGTGGGGAGAGGCGGTTAACTGGTTTTCTACATTTGTTTTTTTTATGTATTTGCGTTTAAGTGCGTATGGCCGGCTGGCTGCGTATTTGTTGCTTTATTCGCATAAAATACACATTCGCAACGCGCTGTTCTGTTAATGGGCCATTGCCTATAAATGGCGCTAATAGCGTTGTTCGTTGTTTTTATGTGGTGCCTCCGGTATGTGTTCGTCTGTGTGTGTGTGTGTGTGTGTGTGTGTGTATTGATTTGTTTGCTATCTCCATTACAAGTCACATCTCTATTACTCGTTTAAGCGCGCGACTTTTACATTTTACATCGTTGTAATTGATTAATTCCCTAACACCAAACGTACTTATTAAGCAAACGATCGATGTTTTAATAACATTTGTTGCCATTTGCGAATCGAAATGTAATCACGGGCATACAAGTAGGTACATACGTGTTTTATTTAAACATGCTTACTTAGTACATACATATGTGCATACATACATATCTAAATATGTATTTAAGTATGTTTGAATATTGAGGTGATTTGTAGGTACATTTACGAAGCAAGCATACAAATAGTTGTAAAGAAAAAACCTATGTGGCCGCGAAGCAATCTTGAGCAGTAAAACAATTCTAAGGGGCCTAAGAAGAAGTTCCATTATACTACTTTTTGACAAAATGTTTTCGTTTAGGCTAATTTACAAGATTTCGCTTTATATTACGTGGAAAAGCTTCATATATGTATTATATCTGAAATACTTATACATATGTACGCATTTTATTAAAAAAAAACTTACTTGATGTTTGATAAAAAAATATTTCATTATTTTTTCTATCTACAGAGTAATCCATATGCATTGAAAGATTCAGCTGGTGGCACAGAAATGACCGCTTGGACATCAGCTGGCCTACAGCCAACTACTGGATATTACTCATACGACCCGATGTCCGCTTATGGGTGAGTACAAACTTTTTTTCAATATGTCATTCATAGGTTGGCCATACATTTTTTTTTCAAATTTATTCACGGTTAGCTTTGCCGAGGTCGTTAAAATTGTATTTTTGTCTAAAAAGAATACCGATACTAGATTTAGGATGGCTTGTTTGACTGAGTACATTTTAATAAATAGATATTCTATTTGTTTACTAATGTAAGCATAGGCTTTCACTTATTTCACTCATAATTAAAGTGGTGTCATCAGATTACTAAAATGAAACCTATTCCGGTCGTGAAAGAGCGGGGAAGTGTTTTCATCCAGCGAAGAATGAATAAACCAAAGACAAGGTAGTGTTATCTTATCCATTGAATTAGGCCTTAAAGAAAACTTTGGATGATTGGTTTGTTGAAAGGTATGTGGGTTTCTGGATTCTCTTTTTGAGGTGGTCTAAGGCATGCGTGAACTTGGTGTTTAAATAGTCTGCGGTACAGGGACTCAACCTTACTACTAGTAAGACGGCGATGGTTCTATTCCCTGTGATTGCAGCTCTTCCCTCAAAAAGAGCCTAGGCCTTGCGCTTTCTTTTACTTGTAGATACAAGGCAGGTTTCTAAATAAAAAGCTGACATGGGAGCTTAAATTAAAGAAAATATTTATGAAAGCACCAATTAATTTATATTGCTACATGATCGCTAGGTAAGTCACACATTGACAGGTTTATTTCTAGCGATACCAAATAGAATTCGATCTATATAAGTAGACGTAGACATCATTTAGGGCCGTTTTATCAAGTAACCTGTAACTTTAAAGCTCACTTTATATTTAAACGTTGCATTAAAATGTATGGTTGTGTCTAAAGTAAAGCATTTTATTATTGGTTTTAAATTGGTTTATAACCAAGAAACTTACATGCGTCAAAACCGATAGTAGAAACCATACCACCCTTACCCTTCAATTGCTTAAACGGCTTTTACCCCACATTAAGAAAGCAGATTCTATGCATAAATTGGTGTATTCACAACTGCTTGGTTATTAGGTTAACTGGTTATGTGGTTATATGGTTATACTTTTAAATCAATTTACAAACACAAAATACACCAGAGTATAATAACAGGACAGGTGTGAACACCCACATTGTTTCTGAGCTATTTAAAATGACCATCAGAGAAAATTTTTCAAAAGCTTTGACTTCTTACCGGAAGAAATGGATCAGAGTATTTCGCGTCTTATCTTAAACGGATCCTTCTCCACAACATCCCTCTAAGGGCCAAATGGGAGAATGCCAGTCTCGGGAGTAGAATTCCAATAAACCTCTTCTCGAACGGATCGAAGCTCGACGAGAGAGTTGGAGGGGTGTTTAGACTAGGTACACTCAGAAAAAAATATTCCTTGATGCTAGGAAAGAAGTATATTATTCTAAGGAAATATTACCTTGAAATGGCTCCAATGACGTGGCTGCCTTAATATGAGTAAACGATTTGACTCAGGTTAAGGAAAACACAATTCCTAAAGTATGTCATTTTGCTCGTGGCGCTCAAACAGTGGCAATGGCCGACAGAGGAAGGCAATTTTTTTTTAATTTTTATTTTTTTTTTATTTTGTTAATTGTAAATTTTTAAATTGCATTTAAAAAAAATTATCTAATTTATTTTTTATGGTATTTATTTGAGGTTTCCCTATATGAAATTAATTTTACTATTTGAAATTAATATTTAAACTGAAATAATTGACTTACCTTACTCTAACCTCAGAACTAGAACTAGAAGCTATAGTCTTCACGCGACGCCACAGCCGACATTGGCCAGGAAAGCAATTAATTTTGTCAGCACTGACAAAATTCAAAATTATATAAGGAAATTTTTACTTTTATTGGGGAAATTATTATTTATATTAAGTAAATTTACTTCCTCAAATTAATGACGCCCTATTTTTGAATTAAGGAAAATCTTCTCAAATTGAGTAAATTTTTCGGTTATGCAAGAATATCCATCTTGATGCCTGCCGTGTAAAATGTAGCGCTGTGCTGCTTGTTTCCCACGTCCACATCGTTTAACTTGGAGGCGCCTTGGTTCTGCAGTGCTCGTCGTTAACAGTGACGGTCTCACCAATCTCCTTTTCGAAAATTTATGGACCAATGGTCGGCCCAAGCTGCGCTAAAAGTTAGGCACCGGAGCCCTGAGCTCAATTTTGGTCACGCCGAACATTTTCGAGGGTTGATCTCACCGAAAAAGTATAGGGTGGGAGTACCTTGGACTATCAGTGCTATACTTTTATACCGATTGACCTCAAGTCAACGTTACTAGCGCAGGGAGAATACCGGTCTTTTTGATTCGGTGTAGAACGAAGATGAAGGAAGCGACTTGGGCTCGCAAAGCCGCTTCTGCTAGTATTGATTATTGATTTTACAGGACAGTGCCGCATTGAAATTGACACGGTGAGATTTTATATTGTCACAAGATTTGCACTGTCGCAAATATATGAAAATGTGATGAATCAGCTGGCAGCACTTTTCCCCGATAGCTTAGATTCTAGGCCTTAGAAGCTACCTTTCGAACCTGTAAGATAATGTAAGATACCCTTACCCCTGTAATCTTATCGTAATCCATCACTTAAAATTTACATTTGACCCAATAAAATCAAAAATAAACACTTCAACTGTAAATTTATTTAAACAAGCGAATAAATCACTCGCAATCGCGCACAATGAATGCGAAAATTATAATAAATTAAGCACAATTAACTGCAAATTGCCAACCAAAAATAAATGAGCAGAAAAGTATGGCCCTGCGCGGTCATTAGCGTACAATAGCGGTAAGGGGGGTGGGGGACGCTGATTACTGAAAAAGAGTTGGTTTGCGATGTGTTTTTTTG